CATCCATTTTCGGGGCTAGTTGATTCGGCAGGTGAGTTGTTACACACTCCTTAGCGGATTTCGACTATCCTAGGTTGAGTCTAGTATTTAAGTGTGAGCTAAACATGTTTCTTGGTAGTCCTTTTGGGCTTGTTTGGTCTAATTTAATTCAAGACAGGAGCTTGGTCCAAAGATAGTTTGCAGGACATCCGTCCCTTTGATACCCTATAAAGTGGAGGGAGTGTCTTGTATCCTAAATCAGTTGTATAATGAATTTGAGTTTTAGTATATAAGTGTAAGGTTACCTCTTGATGATTCCTCTGGAATGAGTTGTGCTAATTGAACGTCAACAGTGGATTTTACTCTGAATTTCAATTACATCATTCGTCGTCTCGATCTGCAGGCATACACAAACCAAATTGTAGTGATGGCTATGCTGGCACTTGCGATAGGAGGTGACACACTTTCTAATCAAGCAAGAAGAGAAGCAATAATTGACGGTCTATTTGACTTGCCTTGTATGTATATCTATCTTCTTTGTTGTCCCTTTTTAACATAAGAAGCTTGTACATTTAATGTATTTAAGAAACAAAGACATTCTGAAGAGGTGCCCATTTGTCTGTGTCTGCCCATCTCTAATCGCAGCAAAAGTAAAAGAGGTTCTGAAGCTTGATGAGGAAATGAGAGATCTCGTTGAGTTGCTGATAGCTGAGCAATCACTGCTTGTATTTGGACGAGGCTGCAACTATGCAACATCACTTGAAGGTGCATTGAAGGTTAAGGAAGTATCTCTTATGCATAGTGAAGGAATCCTTGCTGGTGAAATGAAGCATGGTCCCTTAGCTTTGGTTGATGAAAACCTCCCTATTTTAGTTATCGCCACTCCTCACAGTTGTTTCAGGTTTGTCTATTCTCCGTTGTGGATAAAAACATGACTCTCATGGATATAAACCACATTTTTGAAGACTATTACAATGTTTATTAATACAAAGTAATAATGCTTCTAAACCCAACTAGTATGCTGGGCAACAACTCTTAGGTTTATAAAGCTGAAGTCACTAAGAGCTCGATTGGTAAGGCCTAAATCAGTTAAATGGATGAATCTTTTTAATTTCTTAACTTGTGGATAAAATAGCTTAATATCTAAAATATAAGAAATATTTCTTTAATAATTTATGAAAATGGTACAGAAAATATGAAGGCTGAAATGTAATACGGAGTATTTAACTATCTCAGCCAAATTAGTACCTCTTGTACTACTTCCCCTTTCATTATTATTAAACAAGCGCAGTTGAATAGATTAATGCTGGGTGAAAAGTTTAACCGATAAGACGAGCTCTATATTTTGTACACTTCTATATATTGATATATTCGACATTTCAATACAGCAAACAACAATCAGTGATTCAACAGCTCCATGCCCCGAAGGTAGATTAATAGTGATGTGTACAAAAGGAGATGCAACATCTGTTCATGTTAGCGGATCATGCCTTATCATTGAGGTTCCTCAAGTTGAGGACTGTTTGCAGCCAGTAATTAGTGTAGTCTCGCTGCAGGTAAATGAATGAATTACTATTCTCTTTTCAGGGTGAGTGGGGATATTGAGAAATGAGAACTAATACTTTGTTCTTATAACAGCTATTGGCATATCATCTTAAGGTTCTACGTGGATACAATGTTGACCAACCTCGGAATCTCACCAAGAGTGTTACTACTGAGTAAACATTCCACTCGAAGAAATATACCAGTACCATTTTTGTCTCTGGTTCAAGATGTCAGATTAAGGGAAATCTTTGCATTTCTACGGCTGTACATTGGGGATTTACATAGCTCTTACATTAAATTGGTTATTCGGTATAATATTTTCCCCTTTGGGGACATTCATTATGTGGTTTACCAACCATATTTTTTTAACCAATTGCTAATTTATTTTCTTGTAATAGTTGGTGGATTGGTTTATTATTTTAAAAAGTAGAGTAAAAGTTTGTGTTTTTTTTGTCCCTGCTGATCATTGTCATTGAATTTTTACCTCATTTAGTTTATAATTTAAAATGTATTTGTTCATTTCACGATTCTATTTGTTGTGCAAATTCAATAAAATTCGCTCATTGTGACACTTCTTCAAGAGGTGCATCACCAGAAAAACACTGATTTTCTGTCGTTTTTTGCTTACCAGAGGCGTTGTGTTTTCCCTTGAATAAGTAAATGCATCCTTCCATATCTATTATAATATAATAGCAAATTGATTTTGCTACAGTGTTCCTGCCTAAATGCACTGCAAGTTCACTGTTATGCCCTATAGTTATATGCTCTTTGGTTTATTCAGAAAGTCCTGAAGAAATTAAGTAATACAGTTCAGTATAAGAGACAACTTCTATAATGGCAGATAAAATAAACTACATAGTATTAAATCAGACAGAATACAATACGGCTAATATTCTGTAACTTGGGCAGAATCCAAACTGAGATGACGGGTTGCTCCATACTTTGAGAGGTAATCACTCCTAAGCATTGTAAACAAGTATATAAAGCGTGAAACGATGCTAGAATCAGTGTGCAGGTCCTCATCAAAATACACATTTAAAACAAAAAATTATCAAAATGTTGGCATGCTGAGTATGACTAAAGTTATCAGTCAAAGAAGTCAACATGGACAGTTAAAGGTGAGCCTAAATGCATGCTTTTACGTCCAAAAGGTTGAATCCCCAACCCCAAGGGCCCCCCACCCCGACCCGACAGGATGGTGGGGGAGTAAACCACGGTGACTCAGTCGGCAAAACGGCAGTAGGCCTTTACCCGTGCGCACCAGAGGGCCAGCCTTATTTCAGGTTCTGAAAACCCCCTTTTGGCCGCTGCGGGATTCGAAACGTGGTCTACATCCAATTTTTCCCACCGCTCGACCAACTGAGCTACCCGTGCGGGTAAAAAAATGCATGCTTTTAAGGTTCTCGCACACGTGTCATACCCAGGCTCAATGGTATGCATGTTTCATGGCAAGAGGTAAAATTTTGTGTTATTCCAGTTTTTAGTCTCTTTTTTACGATGAGGAGCATAAATTGCAAATTTAATTTTCTTATTTTGTACAATTAAAACAATCTTTATCAAACTAATTGTGTCAATAAAAACCAAAAAAAATAGTCAATGCATTCGGACTGATGCTAAAAAACAAATACAGGGCACAGTTTATTAAAATCCTTTTTATAATCATCACTTATGTTTTCTTTTTGGTGAAAATCACTTATAATGTTTTGAATATATATATATATATATATATATATATATATATATATATATATATATATATATATATATATATATATATGTGTGTGTGTGTGTGTGTGTGTGTGTGTGTGTGTGTGTGTGTGTGTAGTAAGAATCAAATGTAGAAGTATTTCCAATAACTTGAGAAATTATTTCCCTCAAATTTAGCCTAGGAAGCTTAAAGAAAAAATGAGAGCAAAAGGCACAGTCACGTGAATAATCAGTTATAAATGCTTACTTTAGACAAATACTGATCATATCTGAAAATTTGCATTTGTTGTTTAGAGTTATGTTCTGAAATCCACGCCTAGAAAACAAATACAAAAATGATTAATACGGAATATGACAAATCATTGTACAATAGAATTTAAAATGATTATAAAATCAGACCTTATATGAAGAGGGCTCTACCTGATAATTTCATGAATATAGCCTTAAATAGTGGAACTCACTTTTCTTTGTAAACAACAATCTAAAATAGATGTACCATCTTTGTAAAACAACCTACATTCAGAAAGAAGTTATGGTTCATAAAATTTGAAAAGAACAAAAATGACTACATAGACAGTGTAGCATGGCATGGGGTTTGTTCTCAGATACCTTAGAACAGACCTTTTTATTAATTATTTTCCTAAACAGAGTACCATCTTCAAAATTTAGAAAACGAGAAAGATGTGTGGAATTCCAAAGATATAAACAAAACAAAAAACAATTTCCATATATCTTATGCTCCGAAAATAGAAATTAAAAAAATTCTGCAAATTCAAGTGGATATATACTTTAAGGCAAGGGATTGAAACGTTTTTCATCCAAGAAGTTCTAACAACACCTATGTTTGATTCAAAGTTTATAATAACAAATAACGGTAGTAGAGTGATGACATGGCATATGGATTAGGATTAAACGTCTTAAGCTAAAAAATTATATTGATCTAAGAAGCTACTGTGAATCGTAAATCGGGGTGTTTGACGGAAGTGCACATTTCTAACATCTAATTCCTAAAGATGTATTTTTTTTGAAGTTTTCTGGGATAGCGCAAAACGGACTTGACAGGTCCGAAAATGGAGTCTCTGGACAATGTCAGACCATTTCGGAGTTCACTCCGAATTCGTATGAACCGTGATGATTTATTTTGTTTGGCCTCAATTTGGTTGCTGAATTTTTCACTTCTCATGTGTTTATATTTATTTTTTTAAAAAAAAAAAATTGTATTTGTTATAAATCATAAGTTATTCAACTTGAGTAAAAATTGTACAATATTGTTCATGAATACGCGTTTTACAAAAAGTTGACCCATTCAATTAAATAAGCACACGTTTTACAAAATTGACCCAATAAATATTTTGAACACAAATACTGAACCCGAATAATAAAAACCTAACCATTAAAAAATGTGAACCCAAAAAATAACAAAGTACATCGATTAAAAGTATCAATATACTTGATCAATGAGACGGGTTTTAAAAACAGTTGACCCATTCAGCATTATTAACTTGAAAGTAATTACAAATACAGTTTACAGTATCACATGTTTAATAATAAGTGACCCATTAAGTCATATGAACTCAAAATTAAACAAAGTTCATAACATATTAAAAGTACATTTGAAGCATATGGCTAATAAAAGTGTTACTCCCTCCGTTCCTAAATAAACTTCCAACTTTCCTTTTTCGTCTGTTCCAATTAAAACTTCTATTTTCTCTTTTTGGTAAAGAATTTGTGATTCACGACATTTCTTACACATTTCTCTCTCCTCTGCACAACTCTCCACCACACAATATCCACTATCTTAAACTTTGTGTCAAACCCATTTGGAAGTTAAAATGGAAACGGAGGTAGTACAACATTAAAACAAACTACAAAGAAAAGAAATAATACACCATAAGAGAGTACAAATGTGAATCAATCATGTTGTGCTCTGCGTCTTGGACGCATATCCATCTCATTTGGAAATCTTGTTTCTTGACGGCGTCCTACTCGAGAAGTTCTGGAAGAGTATTTAGGCGGCAGAAGAATGAACTCATTTTGTGGCCACTCATTCAGATTCGGCAATGGCATGATATCACTGGAATGTGCATTTATGTAAGAACTTAGTTTGTATACCTCTGGAATACCTCTGAAAATGGCAGACAACATGCGCATGGGCGCATGGCATGCCGTTCATCCTCCAACAACTGCACTCACAGATAAGTCTCGATAGATTCACCGTAACAAGTGTTGCATTATCCACGACGACTGAGTAAATTCCTGTGTAGTGGTTGTGTGGAAGAACCATAGTGTGAGGTCTTTGGTGCCAACGCTCCATAATCTCTTTCCGAATGTTGTCCGGAAAATGATATCCAGCTTGCTGCCACATCATACCAGCACTACGACATTGGGCGAAGAGTTGGACTAGTTTGTCAAAAGTTGCTCGTACAAGGGCAGTGATTGGCAATGTCTTACATCCTTTGAGAGCATTGTTGAAACTTTCCGAAAGATTTGTTGTCAAAATACCATAACGACAACCACCATCAAAACAAAGTGCCCACTTTTCTTGGGGAATGTCATTTAAATACTTGAATGCTCTCTCGTTAGTACCCCTAATTTGTTGCATGAAATGGTTAAACTCACTTACAATCGGGGTACTTCCCGCTCGCCAACACAACTTCTTTAGTTGTTTACTTCTAAATTGGGACATGAAGTTGCTTCTAATGTGAGCCATCGTTTTCCTACATTACGGTACCACTCGCGGTACTCATCACTAATGAAAGGACCTTCGTCAACCCACTGAAGTGGGAATATTTTGTTCCACCGTAATGCTCATTCTTCAACAAGCTCGACCATGAATCGTGATCCACTATTGTGATGACGATGCCCTGCCACAATCGGAGCGGGTCGATCCTGATATGCGTTGAATTGACGACAAAACCTCCTAGGATAGTGTGCCTCAGAAAAACGTGTATAAATCAATGGAACCTCCGCAGCCCACAAATCGTTCGCATCATGACAATGTGCTGGAAGGTTCATCAACGGATAGGGGATCCATTCGAACTGAAAAATATCTCCCAATTAGTAAGCACACATAGTTATTTATATCATTTAATTTATTGAATTTGAATGTAACAAATTAAAAATCATGTAAAATTGAATTGTACAAGTAACAAATTATACCTCATCTTCCGTCATCCGATCTAGTTGGTCCCTATATACCCGTAACGAAAATCTGTTTGTTTGCTGCCAATCATGTTGACACGCCCACCTAGATTTAGTTTCCATGAACAATAATATATATAAATAAATAACGTAGATTAAAAGCATAAATAGCATCTTGTAATACAATAATCAAAGTAACATAGATAATGTATTGTTTATTTAAACAATACCTAACAGCATACGGAAAATCCAATATATGGTCAAGTGGGAGATGACCTTGGGGCCGAACCATCGGCAATCTCTCCCATGCCCAGATTTGTAGAAGGATTAAACATCCTCCAATTTGTTTAGCCTGGGCCTTGGCCACCTTACACATGGTGTGATACAGATAGGCCAAGACCGCTGAGCCGCAGCTCCATCGGCGCACATCTACTAAGTTCCCCTGCAACAACTCCAAGAAATACCAACTAGCCATGTTTCCACTAGTGGTAGGGAATAATGAACCACCTAACAACTGCCAAATGAGGGCCCTAGTGTGTTGAGTCACCTCGTTTTCAGTGCTCCAATCGGTTAATGGAATGGGGTGGATATTCGTTACTTTTATGGTAGCTGAATTTAAATCATCATCTTCTGGTATAAAACCAGCAGACTGTGCACACATCTGCAACAACGCTGCCTTATCAGTAATCGTGGGACAAGTGAGTGGTATGCCGTCAATGGGCAACCCCAACAACACTTGCACATCCTGTAAAGTCAATCCTACCTCACCAAAGGGCAAATGAAATGCGTGTACCTCGGGTCTCCACCTCTCCACTAACGTAGTCAGAAGTGACCAATCTAACTGTATTTGTCCTATTCTCTCGACACCGTGAAACCCAGATGCTCTCAACAACCGTACCACCCCAGGATGACGCGGACCATCATCAACATAGGCACTTGACGAATAGTGACGGCACCTCAGTTTGTCATCTCGAAATGCTGATTCGTGCCACACACGATCGGCACGATGCTCACCGGGTATCATAACTAAAACAGAACGATCCCGAGGGCCAGGGTGTGCAACTCGTTCAGCCATTACAACCTACAATTAATACGTAAACAAATACTAATTTTTTTATCATGTTTTTAATTTAGTGTTAATAAATGTGTTCAATAATATTATGTAGTTTAAAAGTTCTACAATTATTACTACTAATGGATATGAAGTAAGTAAATATGAAAAAGTTCTACAATTATTACTACTAATGGAATAATAAGAACATATAATATTAAACTTCTTTTTGTAATAATAATAATAATAATAATAATAATAATAATAATAATAATAATAATAATAATAATAATAATAATAATAAACTCTAACCTTTGAACAAGAAGCCTTGTTTGTTTTGTTGGTGTGAAAGTGTGGGAGGAGGATAGGAGATGATGGTGGGTGTGAAAGTGTGGAGGAGGAGTATTTATGCTGAAAATATTATCACGGTAGAATCCGACGGACCAATGAAATTGTTGGGAAATCCTATCTTCGGAATTCGGAGTTGTCAGCTCCGAAAATGGCTGACACTTTCTGACGGCAACACTTTCGGAGTTGTCAGATCCGAAAAGCTTTAAAGCTTGTGTTGACCACTTCAAATTCGGAGTACTGAACTCCGTTTTACTCTTTTTCGTCAAAAAAAATACATCAACGCGATTCGGAAACACTTGTCCAAATTCTACTCTGTTCCATCATTTACTCCGTATATCGGAGGGAAGGAGCATTGCTTTTGAGAGACAGAAGACGAATCGATATCCTAATATGCTTAGAAGGAATAAAATAGTGCAGGCAAATGGATTCTACACCGAAAGCAAAGACTGTAATGAGGGGGTGAAATTCTTAGTACTAAAATGATGTGAGTTAGTTAACTCACCGGTTTCTACACTGAAAGTAGAAGTTGTTGAGTCAATCTTTATAAACCGTTCATGAAAGAACCCAATCGAGTTTGGCCATCAAATGTTTATATTCTGTGAGATATTGCAATCCTAATTTAAACACCCTAACATCAATGAAGAAGATAACGCCAAAAATGTATCTAGGAAGCGAAAAGTAGCTTGGAGTTTGATCGAATATAAACAAAAAATAGAAAATCGACATTAAAATACAAAATCCACACACCAGATTTGCGCCAAATTATAAAATAGTAATGGGTTTCAACATAAATTATCTGTGGCTACTCCATGATAAAGAGAAACATGTGTTCTTGATTAATTTGAAAGTTTTGGAAGTCCACAACATTCAGTTTTAAGAGGGACTCTTTACATCATCTACTGTTGGTCAAAACAATTTTTTTATTATTTAAAAACTACTCTTTATTTAGTTTAGTTAGTCTTGCTGCTATCATATATGTATGCAAGGAAATATACATAAATGGCCAAGATACGGCATTAGAGTGAGGAACTGAGGATACAAAACATTTATAAATAATCTGCAATCTGTAGAATATGCTTAATAGATTGACTATACACTTTAAATATTTTTAATGGAAGTCATTGTGCGTTTAATTAGCTAGATGTTTTACTCATTTAAATTAACGAATAAAAGGGAAACAATGGTTATAAAGTTGTTTAGCTGTGCATTAAACATTATATATAAAACATTGATATGAACAGTTATTTATTATACAAAGAGACATAAAGTGTTAGAAATCTATTTTGACTAACAAATGAACAGTCTATATCAAGGATAACATGTTATTATCTAAATGTTTTATAACATTATATATAAAACATTGATATGAACAGTTATTTATTATGAACAGTTATTTAGCTGTACATAACATTTCATTTCATTAACTAAATGTTATTAATTCTGATTAAATTGATTACATACATTAATTATTGTAAAAGCTTATGTGATTGCATATTATGACAATGAGCTATTAAAATCTGGCTTCCAGTTTATACAACAGGTTGCCGATTGAACAGAAACAATTGCTTGATATAATAGAAAATGCATCTTAGAAAAGAATAGAAAATACAACAGTTTGTTACCTTGATTACATGGATTAATTATTTCAATAAAATGCATCTTATGACAATAAGGTATCAAATTTAACTACAAGGTGGGTGTTAAAATATGATTTCCAACCTTTAGAAAAGAATAGGGATTGAACAAAAACAATTTGCTCGATATAAAATCTACAAAACAGTCGTTGTAGTATTATAAATACTAGAATTATTTTTTCATGAGATTACGAAGTTTTATAAAATTTGTAAAACTAATGCTTGATTTTGTTAGTAATTGCTTACAAGTAGTTCAATTTAGTTGTTCTCTTTTTAATTACAATTAAAAAAAATGTTACCTATTTTTAACTTGAATAATTTGTATGGAATTCGTCTGCCGTGCATCGCACGGGTGAGCTACTAGTATCAATATAGCAATATTAATGGTGTACTTTAGGGCCTTAAGGGGTACTAGTCACTAGTGCAGTTAGAGACTTAGAGGGTCGTATTAGCACACCCACTCATATGCATTCAAAAATTATATAAATGATTATTGAGAAAAAAACTTTTTAAGAGTTCCTTTTTCTTTTAATTTTTTAAGAGTTCGTCTTGATATAATCTTTTCAGAAAACTTCTTTGAGAAAAAAAATTAGATTAATGATTACTGGCATGTTATAGTCTGCTAGTATTAGTCTGCTGATAAATTTAGTATCAGCTCACAAAGTCGATTGACGATTGCCCAACATCTTTATTATTTTCTAATGCAAAGGCAATACAGTCAATACTTATAACATTCAAGTCTTAGTCCCAAAAAAATATGCACTCTCCTGACATGCATGAACCATCATATCATGTCATAGTTAAAAGGAATAAAAAAGGATCCATTCTTCACGTTTCACTCTCCAAATTAAATACAAGATCTCCTCCAATTCAATAAGTACTATATCACTCTAATTCATGTTTGTTTGAGTCTCACTCTTCCTCTCCTTTCAGACTCGTCCCTCACCTCCCGACTCGCCTGACAAGTGACAAGTACATACTTCATAGTTCATACTTGATATTTGACACACACAATCAATTCATTGGAATCAAGATTCTCTCATTTTATCTTCAATAGGTGCTACTCACATATACTCCCTTCGTCTCATTGGAATGTTCTCGCTTTCCTTTTTTGGATGTCCCGTTGGAAAGTTCCCATTTCCCTAAATGGAAAGTTATCCTACATCAAAACAGGGTCAAACAGTGCAAAACAGTGTCAAAAAATGTCGAAACAGTGTCAAAGCAGTAAAATTTACCCCTGGTAAGTTTATTTCCTTAATATGTGTGTAGGTCAAACCGAGAACATTCCAACGGGACGGAGGGAGTATATTTTATAGTCCATAACAATATTCGAATACAATTTTGGTCTTTAAAAGGTTAAATTATATTCCCTCACTCCCATTTTATCTACCTTATTTTCTTTTTTGAATTATCCCAGAATAAGTGTCACATTTTCTTTTTTGAAAAAATATGTTATCCACGACATTTCACTTGACTATACTCAAATCTTAACTATAACTTTAACTTTTCAATCACTTTATTAATAATCATACCAAACTAACATATCACACATAAAATTAGACCTGGACAAATAGGGCCGGCCCGCCCAACCCGCCCGCACAAATGGGCGGCCTTGGACATATATATTTACCCATCGGGCCAGCCCGAGCCTGACCCGCAATAAGATATGGACGGGCTTGAGTTAGGGTGTAGGCCCGTTCGGGCCGATAAGCCCGGCCCGCTACATTTAGTATATATAAATATATATTTATATATATACTAATTTATTTATTTGCATATACACATGTATATTTATATTTACTAATTTTTCTTTATACATATTTATAGTTTATTATGTTTGAATTTAATTTTTTAGTTCTTAACAACTAGCCCAACCATTATTATATCTATTTTTGTACTTAAAAATAATACTTTGTGCTTAAATTTTAAATTTTAGATATAGTGTCTCATTATTATTTTTGTGTAAGTATTTTTTGTGTATGTGGTGAAAGACGTATAAACATTATAAGCGTATTAATTATTTTCTAAATGTTGTAATATTATTTTTAAAGTAGTTAAAAAATCATATAATTTTGAAAAAATTAAAGTATTCCCGAGCCGGGCGGCCCGGTGGACTACCCGGTCCGCTCTTATGGGCAGGTATGGACATAGGGTTAGACCCATTTTTGTGGGTCGGGCCCGCCCACACATGATGGGCAGAAAATTTATAAAAAGTCCGGCCTGAGCCCGGTCCGAACCCGTTTTTTACCGGTCTACATAAAATGGGATGAAGATAGTACGAGTTAAAATGGACTTAAGTTAAATACGAGTTAAGATGTTTTTAACTGGATTGAAACTTTATAGTTTAATCTGATCGATTTAAATCAAATACACCGTTATTGATTTATTAATCCTTAAGAAAAGGAGTGAGTACAATTTTTACTTTTTAATTATTGTACCGACTAAAATTAGTCATGGATTGTAGGGGTGGGAAAAACCGAATCGAAACCCGGAAACTGGCCCGGGCCCGGGCCGAATTATGATATCGGTTCGGGTTTTTTCTTTTTGACCGGTCCGAATAAAAAAACCCGGACCAAACCCGAAACTTTGGGCTCATTAACGGGCCATAAAATCTATAACCCGGTCCGGACCGATAAAAACCCGAAACAATTAGCTTTAATATAAAATCAATACGGAGTATAATATACCAATATAATTTATAAATTAATTCCTAATATATGATTATAATCATGATGGACGAAAAAATGACTTAATAACTATTAGTGACTACAAATATGTTCAATTTATTTACCGTAATGACCATGGAAACATATTTATAGTAAATTTAGTCACATTTTTATCCATAAATTTTATTTCATAACATTTTTAGAACACCTATATTATCTATGTTTATGATAATGACCTTCTTTGAATTTGAATTCTTGGAGATTTTGGAAACTAATATTTGTGCTTTTTATTAATCTTATTTGCGGTTTGTACTTTTTATTAATTTTATTTGAAAATAGATTTTAAAATATAAAAGAAATGTGAGTGATTTCACATTCGGGCTTTAACCAGGCCAACCCAAACCCGAACCGAACCCAGACTACAAAAAACTCGAATCGGACCGAATATAGTGAGCTTTGTTTCGGTCCCTAATTTTCATAACCCGATACCTTACGGGTAATTTTACGGGTTTAGCAAAAACCCGACCCGGAATGATCCCACCCCTAAAAAAAGGATGACACCCCATCCCTGAGGGCCCCCCAACCCCGACCGGACGGTACGTTGGGAGGATGTAAGTTGGACTATAATCCCAATCTGACAGATAGAGAGTGAGACTCTATCCCGGTACTTGCAGAGGCCCTATGCATTTTTTAGCATAGTAACCTCTCATCGCAATTGACGGGATTCGAACCCGAGACCTAACCCTTATGGCACTCCCTTCTTTCCTACTAGTTGAGCTACGCCCACCGGTATGATCCCACCCTAATGATGAGAGGAAGGAACCAAGGATTATTTGAGAAGATCGAGGTGCTGGTTTTTTAAAAAGAGACATCTGGAACGACGCAAAAAAGCCTTCAATTCTATCCCCCGTTTCTTTTTGCGTAGATCTGTTCCGGATACCTTCCTGTTCGCTCACAGGTTCAGATTGTTCTTTTTCATCTTTCTAATTTTTCCATCTATATGGTACATATCTAATGCTAGTATACTTCTGTTTGTTGAACTCGATTTAATTTGATTTATTTATTTTTGAACAAATTTTCGAACTTTCTTGAAGGGGCAGGAGGGAAGTACTAAAAAGCTAGCATCTTTCATCTCGTCCCTGAACAAGGTGAGTCTGGTATTTGTAGATGAAACTGAATTTGCAGTTTATTTTAGTATTTTACTGAACCGGCTTAAAGAAAGTTGTCAGCTTTCGAATTGTTGTCGTCGACGACGATGAATACACACACAGATATATACATACATAAATTTATGCACACATATATATTATAATGATTTGGATGACAATTATTTATGCTTCCTGTTGTTTGATATGTGTATCTCAATGAATTTTGTAGTGGAAAGTATATCTATTTATATATTTCAGGCTGAGAGGCGGCTGCTTAGGTTTATGTCTTAGATAGTTATATTACATATATTCAGTGTTTATTTAGCCTGTTTGTTCATATATTCATGTACTTATCTGAAACAGATCATATTCACAAACATACAGGCATGTTTATTTGTTTTGAATTATTTTTGTATTTGATTTGTGTTTCAATGGGTACTATCCTGCTAGTAGAATGTAACACCGTTTTCATCAAGATAAAATGATATGCACCCCCTCCCCCTCCTTTCTCTTCGAAAGTTAGGTCAGGATTTTGGCAGGCTTTGTTTTGTGATTACCAATTTGTGATGAATCCATCAGTTTACTTTTCTAGTTTGTATCATGAATATCTAAAGTCTAAACATTTGTTTTTGTTTTGTTTTCTTGGATATCATCATTCAGTTTTTGGTTTCTCATATGTGTTCATTTTGGATCTTGTTTTGTTTGCACTTTGCATAGCTATTTTCCTATTGAAAATACTGCTATGCAAAGCTCATGATTTCTGGGCACTATAAAAGTTTGTCTACAGATGTGCTATGTGATAGAATATAAACCTATAGGAAGAAATGATATCCATACACTAATGCGTATTCCTCAAACATATCAATTGATTAAATTTCCCCCTTCGTCTAGAAATCTAGCTGTGATCACCATAAGATTGGTTTATTTGTAAAAAATGGCACAATTGATAAATCATTGTGTTCCCAGGGGATTTGTAGTGTCTAAAACAAATAAGAAATCAATTTGAACTGAGAAGGAACATAAAGTTAATGTGCTAATTGTAATTTGCTTTTATGTTTACATACATAATCCCCCCCCCGTGAATCTGGTACTGGACCAAGAACAGCCGTTTCTGGCCTGAGTGTTCCTCCCTAGATAAGATTAGACCCGCCCGGGTAAACCTTACCAGGTATACCCGGTTACGGTTCCACCCTTTTCATGAACTAGAACCAGATGGCCAGATGGGGTCAACCCTCATCCTCATACTCTCAAGAGTGGGATATATGTTTTTTTCAAGTACCATGGTTGCCCAGGATTGGGTTATCTTTTGGAAATTATATTTGACTGATTAAGTATGTTTTACTTTGACTGAACTTTTCTAGTGTGGTCTACTTAAGTCTGGTCTGATCTCGTTTGAACTTGTTTGATTTACAAGTATATGGCTCTCAACTATAAACAATGCGGTTAAAAATCTATGTTTTATGCTTTATTGCTTTAAATGACTTCATTAACGCCCTTTTGGCACTAGGATATCAGAAAAAAGAGGATGGAGCAAAACGGTGCAGGGTGCGAAGCACCTCAGGCTCCCACACCATGTGTCAACAACTGTGGATTCTTCGGAACTCTGGCAACCTCTAACATGTGTTCAAAGTGCTACAAGGACTCCATCATCAAACAAGATCAAGCCAAACTCGTTGCCTCTTCACTCGAAAGCATAATAAACGGTAGTGATTCTATCTCGACTGACAAGGCAATGACAAGTGTCACCCCACTTGCTGAGACCACCTCAGCGGGATCGACCCTAGCATCTCCCAGTAGTCCTTTGCTGGTGGACAATAATGGCAAGGGCAAGAAGGTCCAAGAAAGTGGTCCTAGCAGGTGCATGGCTTGCAGGAAGCGTGTTGGGTTAACGGGGTTTGAATGCCGGTGCGGGAATGTCTTCTGTGGGGCCCATCGCTACTCGGACAAGCATGATTGCACTTTCAATTATCACAAGGAAGCTCAGGATGCTATAGCCCGGGCTAACCCTGTTGTCAAGGCCGGAAAGCTCAACAAAATCTAAGGAGGCTGGTGTTTTTTACTGTGCTTAAACAACTGCAAAATCTGGTATCAAATGAATTATGTGACATTTTGTCATAATTATTCTAAGGTTTGGTCTCTGGTGCTTTTGTGCTTTGTTGGTCTCTGTTTGGTTGGGCACTTTGTGATTTCTTTTTCTTTGTTTTAATGTAGTTGCTCTTTAAATTAATCATTAGTAAGTGTAGTTTCTTTATCGATAGCACGTGGTGTTTGTAGATATTAAGGTATTTTGCTGTGTGGGAAATTGGCTGTTGTGATCGATAGTAGGCGATTCTCTCGTACAGAACATAAAATAAAATAATGTTATTTTCCTTATGACAGAAAATTGAAAACAATCATAATTACATATGTGTAGCAGTGTACGGGAGAATTGTCAATATTTTACTTGGAGAAAGTAATGATTTCATCGTCAATATTGGGAAGTAAAACCCAATAAAGCAAAATACTGCGTATAAGCATAGGGAGTCTAGCGCGGCAGCAATTTGAGGAAGACGGGTCATGTGAAAAAGAGGTGCACAGCTGGTTGGATGACTTGGATCGAAGTTGCAGTTGCGAAAGTTCACGTCAAATAAATAATTAAATATGATACCAATTCAACCCTTACGTATATAGTTCAAACAAATGAATTGCTTTTGATGACTCAATTTTTCGGTTTATTAAACGGATGACTCAGTTTTTCGGTTTATTAAACTTATCAATAAACTTTTTTCATCAAATTTGTAACTTTTGATTTCACACGCTGAATTGTGTAATAATAAGAAAAAATAATGTTGAAGTTACTTTTCTGTATATATTGGTTGAAATTATTGTAGATTACCATTTTAGCTATTTTTTATATAATTTTTTCTTTATTTTATTATTACTCCTAAAAAATATTTTAAATATAGTTTTTTATAAATCTGTAGTATAAGTCAATTTAATCACTTCAATCAGAATTTCATAAATTTTAGCAGAATAAGTCGATTCAGTCAATTTCAATGTTATGAAAACAGCACATCATATACTAGTTGTTATACGAATAAATGTCATAGATATTATCTACCCACTCTTAAAGGACAAATAAATGACCCGTTTTATTTTTTCCAGAAATGTCACCGCTCCAAACTTCCTCCCCTTCGGACATCCCTTCGCCTCTCTCTTCTACCCCCAGAAATCAACTATTGCACTGAGGGAGATGACCGGTGCATGTCCTACACGCCTCCTCCTCCTCAAAGCCTCCTCCATGCCGTCGATGCCACCACGCTGCAGGTCGACCTCAGCAACGACGAAGACAACATCAGATTTTCATCACCATCTCTCTATCTAGCACACATCACCACCGCACCCAAACTCTTCTTCACCATTCCAGCACACAAGACACCTCCATTCCACCTTCGACCGTCACAATCATTCCACCGCCGCAATTATTCGATCATCGCAACCACCGATTGAACTTTCTTCTTCTCCGATATTTTTGTATCTACAGTGACAACTCGCTTCTACATAAGTGTTGATCTTCCTATTTGGTTGTTCTGTAGATCTGGCATGTTGGCATCCAAAGACGATGACGAATTTGAGCGCTGAGTAAAATCGACGATGACGAATTTGACGACTGAGGAAAACCAGCGGCATTCTGGTGGCTTATCTAGTAGGGGTGGAGGGATATGGCAAGGAAGGGGAATGGGTTGGGGACAAGGGGCGTGGTTGGAACTGGTGCAGGGGGTGGGTGGATGGGCTGGGTAGGGATCCCAAAAGTGGAAGGCAGTTGGAGGTCACAGGAAAGGGGGCGGGGAGTTGGGGAAATAGTTGGAGGTTGGTTGGGATAGTAACGTAGAGGCTAGGAGGTCAGGGAGGGGCTGGGAAGGCCGGAGAGGGAACTGGGAAGGTTGGTGAGTGAGTTGGGGTTGTGCAGCGACGGTGCGAAACTGACTAGTGGTGTGGGATGGGGTACTGGCGGTGGTGCTGGGCTGGGGAATGGGGGACAATGACAGTATTGTGGGGGTGGAGTAGCGGTAGTGGTTCAGAGGCTGGTTGTGCGGGGACTGGGAAGTGGTGGTCGTTGGCGGGGAGGCGGTGGTAACTAACCGAAGTGTGGTGACTGGAGTAATTGTGTGTCACTATCACTATGGAGGTGTCACGGTGGCTATAGTGACACAAGCGACATCTGTAATGACACGGGCGGCAACTATAGTGACATGAGCGGCGGCTACAGTGACATGGGCGGTGGTTCTAGTGACACGGGCTGCAGCTACAATTACAAGAGTGGTGGCTACAGTGAGACAAGCAGTGACTACAGTGACACGGGCGATAGTGATAATGACATTTGATAGTGACATTAAAATCGGACAGTGACATAAAATCTGAGAATGACATGTATATGACCTTCATAATCACTTTTTTGACCAAATATGAATGTTGTCATATTTTTGGAAATTAGCTTTAGTTTAGTAATATTGAGGGCAAAACCCCTTGTTATACTACTTCTCCATTTCACCTATTTTGAGTGTTAACGACTAAAAAAACATATGCATAAATGATCTTTTTTCAAATCTGCTGTAAGGCTTTATCTCATTAACAGCTCATTTGATTACCTTTATATTTTAGCTTATCGACGTTATCCTTTAATATCTTAAATAAGTTATATTGAATTATGTAATAATCAAATTATTTAAGATTATTGTTAATTAAATTAGTTTAATTTGATGATGAGAATGATCACATTTTTAATTTTTTTTTGAGTAGTTCATTTTGTGTAGCCAATTTAAACGTTATTAAACTGATTATAAACATTTAGGGCGTGTTTACTAACAGAAATATTTTCTGTTTTTGCAAAAATTTGGAAAAATGGAATAAAAAAAGTAGAAAACGTGTTTACCTACTTGTTTTCCAAAAGGGAAAAAATGAGACATGTCTCGCCTTTTCCTTCTGGAACAGAAAATCGACAAATAGACGTTTTCACATTTTAGAAAAGCCGTTCGCATTCCTCCACCTTTACTCGCTCTACCATCCTAAGCCTTACCGCGCTCTATCTTCCTCCGCGCTCAACCTTCCTGCGAGTTCAAGGCAGGCCTATCTTCACTCCTCGCCTTTACTGCATTCTACCTTACCCTCTCCACCTACCATCTTTACATCTCCGCCAAACCCGTTCAATTTGAGGTGAGGAGGCAGAGTTCATGTTCTGCGAGTTCAAGGTTAAAACCACTAACCCCAAGAAATTTGCTGCGACAATTTGAGAAGAGAAAAGCTCTACTATTCAACCGAATCAGAAATTCCATCTCGAACTGGAGATGTTGAAAAAAGAAGCAAACAAAAGAAAAACCGGTGGCTTCTCAGTATTGTGTGTTGTGCTGATTTGGGTAATTGGAATTCTAGTAGGGTACTTCATCAGTAAGAGTTAGGTTGCACCCCCAACAAGAACAAACACCTTTTAGTTCATTCCATCATTCTTTTTTGTCCTATTAGTGTAAAAAAATATCAAACTAGCTTTCTGCTTGGACTAGAAACCTGTAGTGCATGACTTTATCAAAGATGTTCAAACGATATATTTGTGGCTTCAGGTTCAGATGAAAGATTATTTCTGTAAAAAAAATGTATGTTGGATTTGAATGTGATCTAAATTACTTTCATGCATAAGTTTGTTTATTGGATAACCTGTGAGATTCTTTGTTGGTCATATTTATCTAATAGCTGTTAAAGAATGAGAAATCAAAATCTAGTCCTGGACATATTGATAGCAAAAAGATTGAAATAGGGGAATAATGATTTGGAATTGGTAATACCTGGGCTAGGGTGTATACTTTTTGGAAGGTGTTCTACAGACTTAGGCTATTTTGTTCCTTTTTTGATTTGTTTTTTGCTGGTGTATATAGATATACATGTATCTGTATCTAGAAAAAAGAAATGGAAATCTATTATGGATAGACTGTTTTTTCATTGCTTAAAAAGTCTGTTTTCATTGCTTAAGAATTCTTTTTCATTGCTTCAGTTATGTTTTAAGGTATATGGCTTAAGATCCGGCTCTCTCCTCTTAGATGTCACATGGTACACGGTTATGTTTTAAGGCATATTTCTTCAGTGATGTTTTAAGGTACGTAGTTTTAGAAAGCTGTTAGTAAATGGGATTGGAAAAGTGAGTATAGATCAATGGTTTTGCTTGTGTTTGAAGGTCTTCTGGTGTTTAATTCATTATTATCTTTTATTAGCAAACATAGAAGTAGCTTTTTATAATTTGCAAAATTATGAAAATTTGTTGTGTTATTTGTAATGTTTGTAATTGTACATTCTTTTACAAATATTAAGTCAACATTCTCTCAAAAAAATGAAATGGAAAATGGTAAACATGTTTTCTGGTTTGGAAAACAAAAAAAAAAGGAAAACGAAAACCGAAAACTAGAAACTTGAAAACAGAAAATGAAAACAGAAAACTGTTTGAGTTAGTAAAGAGGCCCTTAAGGTTTCATTGTTTAACGTGATACGAGCAATAGTTCAAAGGTTGACACTTTCATCCAAAAAATTTGTGCTCTACACTGTGACACATTTGTCACGAAGGTGATTGAGGGATTGTTTACAGATAATTACTCTAGATATGACTAAAACTTATTCATTTTCCCAATCTATGACTTAACTAGTTTTTTTATTAAAATAATATCAAAATTCATTATATTTAATTAAAATTCGTAATAAATAATAAATAAATAAATAATTTAGGTGGACAAATATACCCTTTAAGTTATATCTATAACACTCTAAGCTCCTACTCTTTTCTCAAACCGTAGCCTCCATTATCCCACCTCCATAGATCCACCCGCATACAGCCGCCGCAGCCCTATGACCCGGCGTCTGCTGCCACCTAGGACCCGCCATCTGCCGCCGCACCATGACCTGCCTCCCGCCGCCGCACCATGGCCTGCCGCTAGCCGCCGTCTAGGAGCACCTTAATCCAGCTTCAACACTCTGGCTTCAACCATTCCATATACCACCCGCGCGCAGTCACACAACCAGAACGTTTATCCAGTATCTACCCCCTTCTCCGGTTAGCTTAGCAGCCCAGTAACAATGGGAAAAAGAAAGAACAAAAAGATTTGAAGAAAAAAACTGATAGAGTATATATTCTAGAGAAAAGTGAGAGCTAGAGAGAGAAGTGCAATAAATTCTGCAATAAATCAATTTGTCAACCCCTACAACTACTCCCAAGGGGAGTATTTATAGAGGAAATGTGGGCTGGGCTCCCAAGTCTTGGGCTTGGGAGGCCCATTTACAATGGG